GTATATCCTTTTCAAGATTGTTTATAAAGAAATAAAGAGAATACATTCTGGAAAAAGAGTTGTTCCCGCAGTAATCATCGTCTCTTTCAGCGGGATAATTAAACAGATTGCAATCAAAATTATGTGTTATAGTCAGCTTGACGAACGCATTGTCATTGATAGACGGCGATTTGCACTTTGCGCAAAAATAAAACTTTTGTTCGGCAACAGTATGAAATGGAGCTAAATAAAAATGTATCTCTTCTTTTAATAGTTTCAATCGATTGAAAACAATGGAACAGCGTTCCTAAGTTCTTTCAATATTCACGCTATTCTGTATTCATCCTATTAATTTTTCCGATAAACGCACAAAATCCGCTGTTCAGTCATCATTTAAAATGGAATTCACCGTTCGCGACGATCGCAGTTAACGAAGCTTTTGCTTTCATTTGGCAGGCCACGTTCTAACATTGTCTAGCAATCTCGGCGTGTAATTTACGATAATCTTAACTTCATTTGCAATTAGCTGCTCTGTTGGAATGTCATAAATGATACGCGCCAGACGGCTTCAACCTTTGAAAGAACGCGACATTAACAGGCCGCCGCGGCGGCGGGATCTTGTAATTTTCGTGAACGTGAAATGCTCGTCAACGCCCGTAAAAAAAGGCTGGCGAACAGAGTTTAATTATTCTTCGATCTCCGACAAAACCGTGCGCCATCTTCGAGAGTGGATGGAAGACGGCCGCGGAGATGTCGCGAGCACACTTGAAACGCGTTAATTAGTTTGTTAAAAAACAAACTGGCGGTCTGCATATCGGTAGATGCAACATCTCTGAAAAATGACGTAACGTTATGTTGTTTATGCAGATGCTGGAAAAAAAATACAAAGAGAAAAAAGGAAAGAAAAAAAGGTTATTACAGGTCTTTAATGAACTCTCGTGCGAGAGAATTAATAATTAATCGCAGGCATATCCTGAGCATACAAAATAGTCGATTCGTCGAAGGATGATAACGTTATGTAATCGCGCCGCGATCCCGCGTTTCTATCAGTCAAATATTTGCTACCATTATGCTATCAGCTTCGCAGGAATCCGAGCGAACCGGCTATCAAACCTGACAAACGAGCCACCCACCTAATAAACATAATTTACCATTAGCCAAGCAGTCTCGCTGTGTTTCATAATGGGATTAATTCGAGAAATACCGGGGAAAAATGTTGTGATGACATAACAGCCTATATTTGTTTTATTCGCGATCGCCTGGACTATCAAACATTTCTTGTAATTCATGTTCTATCGTATTTTATTGTAATACTGTATACATTTATTGCGATATAATATATATATATATGGATATTATATTACAATAGATATATACAATAGATATATATATATATATATATATGTATATATCTATTGTAATATAATTGTGTTCTTCGTAACGAGTCGATGATATCAATGTTAATAATAACGCTACGAAGAACACAATTATATTACAATAGATATATATATATATCTATTGTATACATCTATTGTAATATAATATCCATATCTATCGTAAATAATGTCCATGAAATCGTAACGAGTCGATGATATATATATATATATATATATATATATCATCGACTCGTTACGATTTCATGGACATTATTTACGATAGATATGGATATTATATTACAATAGATATATACAATATATACAATATATGCAATATATACAATATATATATATCTGTCTCTTATACACATCTAGATGTGTATAAGAGACAGGATGTATACAATAGATATATATATATATCTATTGTATACATCTATTGTAATATAATATCCATATCTATCGTAAATAATGTCCATGAAATCGTAACGAGTCGATGATATATATATATATATATATATATATATCATCGACTCGTTACGATTTCATGGACATTATTTACGATAGATATGGATATTATATTACAATAGATATATACAATATATACAATATATGCAATATATACAATATATATATATCTGTCTCTTATACACATCTAGATGTGTATAAGAGACAGGATGTATACAATAGATATATATATATATCTATTGTATACATCTATTGTAATATAATATCCATATCTATCGTAAATAATGTCCATGAAATCGTAACGAGTCGATGATATATATATATATATATATATATATATCATCGACTCGTTACGATTTCATGGACATTATTTACGATAGATATGGATATTATATTACAATAGATATATACAATATATACAATATATGCAATATATACAATATATATATATCTGTCTCTTATACACATCTAGATGTGTATAAGAGACAGGATGTATACAATAGATATATATATATATCTATTGTATACATCTATTGTAATATAATATCCATATCTATCGTAAATAATGTCCATGAAATCGTAACGAGTCGATGATATATATATATATATATATATATATATCATCGACTCGTTACGATTTCATGGACATTATTTACGATAGATATGGATATTATATTACAATAGATATATACAATATATACAATATATGCAATATATACAATATATATATATCTGTCTCTTATACACATCTAGATGTGTATAAGAGACAGGATGTATACAATAGATATATATATATATCTATTGTATACATCTATTGTAATATAATATCCATATCTATCGTAAATAATGTCCATGAAATCGTAACGAGTCGATGATATATATATATATATATATATATATATCATCGACTCGTTACGATTTCATGGACATTATTTACGATAGATATGGATATTATATTACAATAGATATATACAATATATACAATATATGCAATATATACAATATATATATATCTGTCTCTTATACACATCTAGATGTGTATAAGAGACAGGATGTATACAATAGATATATATATATATCTATTGTATACATCTATTGTAATATAATATCCATATCTATCGTAAATAATGTCCATGAAATCGTAACGAGTCGATGATATATATATATATATATATATATATATCATCGACTCGTTACGATTTCATGGACATTATTTACGATAGATATGGATATTATATTACAATAGATATATACAATATATACAATATATGCAATATATACAATATATATATATCTGTCTCTTATACACATCTAGATGTGTATAAGAGACAGGATGTATACAATAGATATATATATATATCTATTGTATACATCTATTGTAATATAATATCCATATCTATCGTAAATAATGTCCATGAAATCGTAACGAGTCGATGATATCAAAAAATGTTAATAATAACGCCACGAAGAACACAATTATATTACAATATATATCTATTGTAATATAACTGTGTTCTTCGTAGCGTTATTATTAACATTGATATCGTCGACTCGTTACGATTTCATGGGCCCGCCTACGTGCTTTTATACGTCCGATTATGTTCACGATTTTCTTATGCTCCACGAACTCGCGTCCGCTTTAAGACCACGTTTTTGCTCGAAGATGGGGAATTTTTAATTGTTCAACGTCGAATACCATTCGGTGATTAATCCCTGTTGAAAGATTAATCGCGAGTCGTGTTACGATACCGATTCCCGGTATTACCTTCGTCAGAAGGGAAAAGCAATCAGGAAAAGTTGATCCGGAGGATCGAGGAAAGTCCGAGTCACGAGTTTTTACGATCCGGTGCGTCAATCCCGTAATCCCAAGCTGGTTCGTCTCGGGAACCCCAGCCGTTCCATTGTTCGCCGTTCTTATCGACGCACAATTCTTCATCTGCCATTGTCGTCTGCCAGAAAGACTGTGGACTCTTATATTTCGCGAACCTGCCCGAACGGGCGCGATTCTGCGCAACGTTCCCGATCATCCGACGATTTATTGTTATTATTATCTCGTGATGCAAGCTCGTTGATCTCGATGTTGGAATCCCCGGCTCGTTCAGCATCATTATTATGGCATCGTTATTATGTCTATTTTGTTGCAGTAGGTTTCTGTGGAGATCGATCAACTGAATGGAACAAGAATCGAGCGGGGAAAACAAGAAAAAAAAGCTGCATTATTGCGGGCGTGTCACATGATTCGCTCGTGCAACCGGTCATTCCGAGCTACTCACGTGCTTCTGAATCAACCTCCTTGATCGGTCACGCGGTTCCTCTCGCTTGGCACCGGTTCCACCCGGACCGCAGTCCCCCATGAATTAATTCGTATTAACATTGTTTTTCATGTAAATCCGCGGCGACACAGCCGACCGATTCTTGGCGGGCGCGCGCCTCCTCCACGGCCGTTTTATCGTGACCAGTAAATTATGCCGTATGCTAATCGCGGGCAACGATAGTGCAACTGCTATCGTTACCTTGAAATCATAAATATATGCACCTACAACGATTATGGAAAACCTGCCGATACGCGATATGGAACAGGCCGTCAGGTGGAAATTCTTCTGCGCACAAACGCCTGCGGGCCACCCATCGTCTTCTCCTCTCGACGGTTCGCCCGACGATATCGCAGATTTTCTTTTTTTCCTATTCTCATTCGTCTAACGTCGAACACTTCGCAGATTGTTCTGCTCGGACGATCTTTCCGAATCAAGTCGGACCGAAAGACCGAAGGCGTCCATTTTGGAGAACGAACGATCGATGCGACTCGCGCCAATCGATTTCCGTTCGATTCGTCGGCGGAGCAATAATTGATTCGCGGATCTGCAGATTCAGCGATCGGCGAATTTTCGTATAGGGAAAGATCGGAATTTTTTTGTCAAAGAAAAAAAGGAAGAGGAGGGATACGAAGGATGCCCGCCGATTCGTCCCGATATCCGCGACTTTAATTGCGACTATTTTCTGCCGATGAGACACGGTCTCGCGCGCTCGCCACAGTTGCAACGAGCAACCAGCAAGAGAACAACTGTACCCGACAGCGCGCGTTCTTTCTATTGCAAATAAGCCACAATTTCATCGCGTGGTCGCTCCGCGTCCTTTGACTGATAGAGAGATGCGCACGCCTTACAATAGAAGTTAATATGCCTTGTTCCGCGGCACGTGCGCGCCTCCGACGTCTTACTTAAAGGCTCTGCTCGAAGCGATTAAGAGCCGTTCGAAGCGCGGAGGAATTAAGCGGTCTTCCTCTTTCGATGTTCTCCCAGCCTGGATTACGTGTACGAAATTCTTTGATAATGACACGCAGATGGTGTCGCAGAGAAAAGCTTTGTCTTTTCGTCACCGCGTGAACAAATTCCGCGATCGTTCTTCGTGCAAGATCAACATTGTCCGATGCAACTCGAAGATGCGGCCACTCGAATACTAATTTAATTTCAATTTAATTCGGAAGAACGAAACGATCCGTTCGGTTTACGATTGAATTTTACGATAGAACATAGTTATATTGGTAGTATTTTGTTGCTTGTATTTGATATTTTTCATGTACGCTCAAATGATTCGTAAATATTGACGACTTTCGTCGTTTACTTTTGCGGTTCGCGGTGATAATTAGATTGTATGCATTTATGAGGAAAATGGGCGATTAAAATTGAAAACGATGATAACTGATAAGAGAACTGAAGCACATGTCGTTTTCAACTCGCTTAAATTATTAGAGGATTGAGATTTCCGTCCGACTTGATTTTGTCGCAATTGTCGACGATATATATATATAAAATTATATTATAAAATTATCGTCGACAATTGCAACAAAATCGAGTCGGACAGAAATCTCTATCCTCTAATAATTTAAGCGAATTTTTATTAGCATCCTTATTAGAATAAAATAAATATAACTTATATAATTATCTTATATATCTTATATATATAACTTATATAATTATCTTATATATATATATATATATATTTCTTATATTTCTTATAAATATATATATATTTTTTTATATTTATTTTATTCCAGTAAGGATGCGTATCAAGTATTAATTTCGGAGCATGTATATCTGGAGACGTGCGTTCTAAATTCTTCGACAACAGCTTGCATACTAAATTATCCGGACATCTTGCCTCCATGTTCAAGTGCGGAATAGTCATGGTTGGATGCTCTAAATTCTTCTCTTCATTGTCATGCCTGACACAGTTCCACGTAAATTAAAGTTTAGGATATTAAAGTCCTCGTTAAGGACGTGCATCAAGTATGGAGAAGATTGTTTTATCCTTTCATGGCCAGGTCTAGGCCAGGTCTTGGCCAGGTCTCGGCCAGGTCTCGGCCAGGTCTCGGCCATAACTGGGTTAGAAGCTTTAATCTACCGATAACGGCGAGTATACGGAATTATTTGGATTAAAACTCTGCTTTAATATCCTTTCGTAGCTGATTCCACATAGAACAGACACACACACACACACACATACACGCGCATCCGTTAATTATTCTCCGCGTTACTTTTTTGCCCGCATTTCCGCAGCCAATCCAGAAGCATGTTTCTTTGGAGATTATTTCAAAATTACTACCCGCTGACATAATCGTAACAAGAAAGGTATTCCTTTCTGTTTTTCCTTTCGGCGAACGCTTTCGACCCGGCAAAAAACGTCTTCCGTTCTTGTTCATCGAATCAAGGTAAGTATAAAATGAAATTACACCGAGATTAAATAAAATATGCGCGCTTGACTGTGATCGCTCTTCTAACGAATAATTGCGTGTCTGGATTTTTCTAGAAACGAACGCGCAAGAAATGTCACGTTCAGTCATATTACTAACATACGCATACACACAGAGAGAGAACAGCCTGGGAAAATTGCATCGCGTCGCGAAGGCAGTAGCCAATATGATTTCAATTGAGCAGCATTTCCTTTTTATCTTCGAAAGATAAAACTCATTTCCAACGACTTAAATCCTTGCCGATAAGGATACGGCTCGTTTTTTTTGCGAGGAAAGAATGCCGTTTCGCTGCACAGCGAACGCACGAAAGAGCTGCAACATGTGTGCTTCGCTGAAAGGAAAATTCACCGGCGGTAATATCGTCGCACCGAAATCGTCTCGAAAATGATCGAATATCCGAACGTTTCGCCGAATCCGCCGAAATTCGTCCGCAACTCGAATCGCGCGTGTGTATGCACGATTCGAACAGCTCGACGAGACAATCCGGCCACCCTGTATACGAGTCGTCAAAAAACGATACGCATTGCGTCGAGACAGAACGGAGCCGACGACGGGACACAGGCATCGAATGTATTAAACGACACTAATTACTTTCATGTGATAGCTCTCGTTGATGCTTAAGCCAATAATTTCGGATTTAGAAGCAATTGTATCTCGATATCTCAACGTCTCGATAGTGGATCGTAAGCCCGGATAAGCCCGTTGTTTTCGCAACCGACGATTTCAATCGGTGAGATTATCGAGAATTTTTTGCGCGTCCGATCCTCGATCTCTGCACCATCGGATCGTCGCGGGAACTGTTTCATCGGCGACGCGCTGCCCGAAAGTTCTGTAACGCGACAGGATTCGCAAAGGGAANATATAACTTATATAATTATCTTATATATATATATATATATATTTCTTATATTTCTTATAAATATATATATATTTTTTTATATTTATTTTATTCCAGTAAGGATGCGTATCAAGTATTAATTTCGGAGCATGTATATCTGGAGACGTGCGTTCTAAATTCTTCGACAACAGCTTGCATACTAAATTATCCGGACATCTTGCCTCCATGTTCAAGTGCGGAATAGTCATGGTTGGATGCTCTAAATTCTTCTCTTCATTGTCATGCCTGACACAGTTCCACGTAAATTAAAGTTTAGGATATTAAAGTCCTCGTTAAGGACGTGCATCAAGTATGGAGAAGATTGTTTTATCCTTTCATGGCCAGGTCTAGGCCAGGTCTTGGCCAGGTCTCGGCCAGGTCTCGGCCAGGTCTCGGCCATAACTGGGTTAGAAGCTTTAATCTACCGATAACGGCGAGTATACGGAATTATTTGGATTAAAACTCTGCTTTAATATCCTTTCGTAGCTGATTCCACATAGAACAGACACACACACACACACACATACACGCGCATCCGTTAATTATTCTCCGCGTTACTTTTTTGCCCGCATTTCCGCAGCCAATCCAGAAGCATGTTTCTTTGGAGATTATTTCAAAATTACTACCCGCTGACATAATCGTAACAAGAAAGGTATTCCTTTCTGTTTTTCCTTTCGGCGAACGCTTTCGACCCGGCAAAAAACGTCTTCCGTTCTTGTTCATCGAATCAAGGTAAGTATAAAATGAAATTACACCGAGATTAAATAAAATATGCGCGCTTGACTGTGATCGCTCTTCTAACGAATAATTGCGTGTCTGGATTTTTCTAGAAACGAACGCGCAAGAAATGTCACGTTCAGTCATATTACTAACATACGCATACACACAGAGAGAGAACAGCCTGGGAAAATTGCATCGCGTCGCGAAGGCAGTAGCCAATATGATTTCAATTGAGCAGCATTTCCTTTTTATCTTCGAAAGATAAAACTCATTTCCAACGACTTAAATCCTTGCCGATAAGGATACGGCTCGTTTTTTTTGCGAGGAAAGAATGCCGTTTCGCTGCACAGCGAACGCACGAAAGAGCTGCAACATGTGTGCTTCGCTGAAAGGAAAATTCACCGGCGGTAATATCGTCGCACCGAAATCGTCTCGAAAATGATCGAATATCCGAACGTTTCGCCGAATCCGCCGAAATTCGTCCGCAACTCGAATCGCGCGTGTGTATGCACGATTCGAACAGCTCGACGAGACAATCCGGCCACCCTGTATACGAGTCGTCAAAAAACGATACGCATTGCGTCGAGACAGAACGGAGCCGACGACGGGACACAGGCATCGAATGTATTAAACGACACTAATTACTTTCATGTGATAGCTCTCGTTGATGCTTAAGCCAATAATTTCGGATTTAGAAGCAATTGTATCTCGATATCTCAACGTCTCGATAGTGGATCGTAAGCCCGGATAAGCCCGTTGTTTTCGCAACCGACGATTTCAATCGGTGAGATTATCGAGAATTTTTTGCGCGTCCGATCCTCGATCTCTGCACCATCGGATCGTCGCGGGAACTGTTTCATCGGCGACGCGCTGCCCGAAAGTTCTGTAACGCGACAGGATTCGCAAAGGGAAACTCTTGCCGCGTTCGTCGGCGACCAGAGCGAAGCAATTCGGCCAGCTGTTTCGCCGCTGTCGCGTTTCGCTGGTCTGAAAAAAACGTGGACTCGAATATAATATAATAATATTATTTTATTATATAACATAATATTATAATAATATTATATTATTATAATATAATTATAATATCATTATATATAATATTATATTATATTAATATTATATTATTATAATATAATTATAATATTATTAATATAATATTATATTAATATTATATTATTATATAATATAAAAACGAGACGATTCAACGGTTCGGACGAATCTATGCGACGCGAGAATCAAATCCGCGTCGTCTCCGCGAACGTAAAATGTCAAGGTTGCAAATTGAAGTTTCGCAAGGACTATTTATTCCCGGCACCTAATCTCTATTTGTAAAAATTAGAGTAGCTGCAAGGAAAAAGAAAAGGATAACATAATTGCGGGAAGGAAGAGAGAGATATTTGGAGATTATTTCGAGGAACTTCGATAATCGAATTTACGAGTCTCGTTGGTCCGGTCCGGACGGAGATCGAAGAGAGGCACAATTAAGAAAAATCGTTCATGTGCCCGAGAATTCTTCCGATTGTCTCGCGGGTCTGTTAACTCCATCGGCAGTCCGTGTGTGTTTACAGATTCAATTTACAAGCACGTGACTATTATTGCGTGCCCGCAGCTATCGTAATCTGATTCATTGAGTGGCGCGTGCTTTAATTTATCGCGAGCCCGCTAGACTTTTTGAGCAATTTCAGCAAGGCTAAGTGGGAGCGACTATTGTTAGTCGAGTAAATACACTGGGGCCGACCGTATTTACCCGCGCCGAAGTAAAGTAACAGTTGAACCCGTCGTTAAGGAAGCGACATCCTCTAAAGATAATCAATTGAATTGATCATGATACGGTAACATTCAATATTTGCCTTTTCAGACATCATGTGATTCATCAGCATCTCTACGAATCGTCGGCAGCGCCAACACCGTCCGATCAACGTTTCCACAGAATCATCACCATCATCATCATCATCATCATCATCATTCATTCCCTTCGTCGTCGAAGCGAGGAATTTAATTTTTCATTTAAATTTTAAATTAAAGTTCCCGCGAAGTCGATGCGAATTGATCGAACCGACACTGAAAAGTTAAAATTTACCATAGCGACATGACATTATAGAACTCGCTCGCATCCGAAACGTCCTAGTCAAATTCAGCTTGTTCGAATATATTACGACGAGGAAAATGAGTTTTCAAAATTGGTCGGAAATCAGCGTCACTCATGTTTCACCGACGCGGCGTTGAACGCGTGTTAAATCCGCGTCGGCCCGGGTGTCGGACGTCTCAATTAAACAAATTATTTCACTCGCGACACGTTATCCGCTTTTCAAAGTTGAATGAGCCTCGCGACAGACAGGATTACACACGCTTACGAGTTATGCAAATTTTTCTTTCGACGATGATAATCATTTGACAAAGATTGCGCCTACCGTTCTTACCGAAGACCTGCCCGAAATGAAATATGTACTCGAAACTGGGTTGGGTACAACGATTATCTCTCGACCTACGATAATTTGAATTTTAGAACAGAACCGTCGCATGCAATTACAAGCTATCTTCGCCGCTTCGTTGAAATTCTGTTTGAAAAAATCAAAGTTGCGATCTCCTATCTTCCAGAAAAATCGCCGCTTAAAATTATAGTTCAATCGTAATTTAAAAATCTAGCGTTCTAGCGTTTCATGTCGTCTCGAAAAATAAAAATAAAAGAATCAGCTGTTCTACGAGCGCCAGATTTTTTAAACAATTTTCGCGATGCACGATCTTCCCGAATGTGTACGAGTCGGAGCCAAAAATATATATATATCTTTACGCGGACTGTACGATTATATATATATATAAAGATATAAAGATATAGAAAAGATATAAAGATATATATATTATTGTATGAAAATTAAATAAATCCTTTATATTTCCAAAGACATTCTTCTACGATTGAAAACCGACGTTCGCGTAACAACGCGGCGTAAGATTTTCACCGTGACTCGGAAAAGCGATCGCAGCCCCTTACACGTTTACGTTTCAAGGTGAAAATGATCCAAGCCACTTTCAGTTTCCCACGGGAGGCACTCACCTAAATTTTTAATGATAATCGCAAAGAACCCGTCGATATCCTGCCGCTCCAATTTAGGGCAAGCAGATTTTGGCGATTCCGGCGGTCGTTGTTGATTGTTCGAAGTCCCCCTGTTGTGGCCGCAGGAACCGGAAGTTACTTGGTTTTGCATCCGCGAGACATTCTATCCCCGGGAAATCGTGAACGATACGGTTAAATATATCGAGAGACACCGAACTGGATCGTTGATCGTTCGATTTCGTACGCGAACTTCTTCACTCGCCCTCTAGCCGATTCTCGTCGCGATGACAGACAACGTCTACGGCCGATCGACGAATTAAATCGGTGCCGTCACGGCCGACACTTCGATGCGAAAACCTGCGAGAAAATAGCGAGAGTGCAAAGAGCGGCGCGCGAGCGAAAAGCACGAAATTCAATCCGGTTTTGTGAAGCTGACGACTGAATCCGCGGCAATACGCGTCCGACCATTTAAATGTGTCGTGGTTCTTCGACAGTTTGTGCTGTAACTTCTTCTCCCCTTCTCCTTTTGCCGTCTTTCAGGCAACACATGTAACGTCACTGGAGAACAATCCAATCGGAGCCATAAGGATTCTGCATTAGACCTGCTCGCGCCGGTTTCTTTTTCTTTTTTCTCGCGCGGGAATCCATGGGGATCGGTGCAATATGCACAACAGTCGGTCCTCCCGTCCTCCAATATCTGTACGCTCCTGAATTTCTAATTGCCCGATTATGTTTACGTTTTCGTAACGTGTACACGCCGATGTTTATGTTCCCGGCACGGCCGATGATACCGAAGGTGATTTCTATTCAAATATGTAACAGACAGAAAATAAATATCTTGGTGGATAGGTAAAAATTGTTTAATTGTTAGATTTCAAACAAAGCTGTCCGTCTATACCGTGTCTATCTACGTTCGTTCGTCTGTTATTCCAGCGTTCCGCTTCAATGCTCCGAGTTTGGCAAACAATTGCTTTCTACCTCGTGATTCTTTGATAAGGAAATTAGATAAGAGAACCGAAGTTCCTGGTTTACTGATCGGTCGAACTTCAAACAAATGTGTACCGTTTTCATTGAATAAAATAATGGTGATTTTATATTTTTCGATATTAACTCATCGAGAATGTGCTCATTGTTGACAATTTAGATTAATCAGAATTCGTGTACACTGATTTAACTGCACTTTCAGCTGTATTGTACCGTGCAAATACGACAAATCCTTTTATGGTTGCTGCAAACAACGAAGGCGTATTTAACACTGGGGTTACAGAACGCGCCAAAATGACGGGACGTTAATTTTTTAATTTACGATTAGTGAGATTGTAAAGACACATTTACGAGCTATTCATTCAATATTATACGCGGCAAATATTACAATATCACTCTCGTTCGAAATCGGAATGATTGTCTTAATGTTCCTTGTATAAACTAATACGAAACAGTTGCTCTCAGTAGTCTGTAAATCCAGCGTTAAAACGGATGTCTAAGATGGTGGTTTACACATCTGAAAAGAATCTGATTGATTGACTTTTTATCTGTAAACTTTTACGTGTCTAAGAATAATGACGTAGTTATCTTTTTAGTAATTATCCACTTCGAGTGCAGCGCTGATAATAGATAAAATCGTTGATCCTCCCGGAACATCGAGGGTGATCTTGCAAACGTCGGAAGATATCTGTGTAAAAAGTAAAATTATTTATTACTTTATTATTCGTCGCAGTATGTATTAAGATATTTAGTCAATAGTTAACAGGAAGTAAAAAAATGGAAATTCCTTTGCTTTTAAAATGTTGTCAGGTGATCTCAAAGTTTCTAAAACAATTACATCGAATTGTCCATGTTCCCAAATATTATAGTGTATTATGTATTGCAACTATGACGAAAGTAAGGTGAATTTATGTCTAGTCGAACAAACAGTATGAAATCTGCCAATTGAAGAATCAGAAAAATATGTTGAATACACAGAAATATTCAGGAGACTCTCCTGCATCTGTATCATAGAAAAAAAGTGAATTTATTGTTAAAAATCAAGAGAACAGATGATTCTTGCCGTTATTATCATAAGGTGCAATGTAAAATCCGGCACGATTCATCTGCTGCTGAAAATATAAGAACAGCGCCACTAGTATGTAGTAGCAAAACGCTCAAACTGTTAGTCAAAATCGACTGTCGGTAATTTGGCTAATAGTTTGAGCGTTTTGTCACTACCTCGATTAGCGCTGTACTGATCCAAAACTGAACTTCAATATATATTCAAGGTCGTCTAAAAACATTAATTATGTCAAAATGAGGACATAATAAAATAAGTCAACAGCGCAGAACTGTTCAATAGAATCTACTGTATCGATACCATATAAGAAAACACAAATGATAATATTGCGAAATAATTAATTGCTCTCTGAAGTTCGGTTAACTATTACGTTAATTAAATAAATTTGTGTTGTTGTCTTGAATTTTAATTTACACCTTTGGCATGTATTCGATCCGCAGCAACACCATGGACATTTTGAAACCAATAACATTAATTTTAAGCTATTAGTTACTAAGTTATTTAAGTTTTTTTCATGAGGGTAGAGAATGAATAAAGAAATTTCTGTACCCTCAGAATATTTCTTAGCAGTTTTTCCCCGACAAAATAGTTTTTCCGTGTTGATTCAATTTTTACCTCGAGTTTCATCTGAGCTCAATGATTTGCTTCGAAAATCCTTATCACCAGCGTTCCTTTGTCAATTTAGGGATTATAATCGTAGTTCGTTATGATGATTACAGCGTGTTTGATAAATCAACAAGATTCAATGATTTTTAATTAAAAGTAACAGCTTGGGGACCCGCTAAGTCTCCAATAATAATATAATAATATAATTAATAATATAATTTTAAAAATAATAAATAAATAATAATATAATTTTCCCTTTTATCAAAATCGGACAGTTGACTCGTAATATCATGTACATATAAGTGTTCTCTGTAGTGGAATACCTGGTAACTTGCGGTATTGTCGAGTCGAGACAAACGAGCAGCAATCCACGCTGCGGCAAAACGCCGTGGACGCGTTGTTTAGTAACCTAGCGTCAGTTGTTATTCC